AGGTTTTAAAATTGGGGAATAATTTGTTGTTGCATTTGTGTTTCTCAGCTATAAAAGCAACTTAAAATGTAGAATGTAAACATGTTTGCATTTGTTTTTCAAGTTTTTAACTTCATAAAATGTTTAATTTTCAAAAGTGTGCGAGGAGATTAAATATTTGTTAATATCCATGTAGTGAAGCAATTCTTGTCAGATATTTATAAAATAATTAACATTTAAATAAAATTGAAGCAGCATTTTCTTCTTTAGTTTCTTTTTATATATCAGAGGAACTATTTTGAAAAAGCTAGTAGCTGAGACAAATGCACAATCTCAACTGAATAAATATCCTGTCTTAAAGGCTTATTTATCTGACATTTTCTTTTGATAACTACTATGCCAGTAAAATTTATGTAACGTCCCGGGAAGTATGTAGAGTTTAAAAAATTTCTTGTACACATGAAATACAAGGAACCTGATAAAGGAAGACTATTAACAGTTTGTAGTAATTTTTTAATACTATAAAAAATGACAATTATGATATTTCTAAGAAACTCGCTAGTATAAAAAAAAAAAGACTGTATGAGCAGAATCATTTCATTTTGAGTTACTGTTTACTTACTATTCAGGTGGATTGCTGTCAAACTGCAATAATAAATGTTAATTTTCACAGTCTTGTCTGTATCAAGTTTTTGTGAAAATATATATGCAAGTAACCATATAATCTCTTGGCTTTATTTGATTTGTTAAATCGACAGATATCATGGTTATTTAATTCACTTCAAAACTCATATTGTTATGAGTATTATTTGCACAAAGTTGGGGAATTTAATTCCTTATTGGATGGTGCATTGAATAGTTAAATAAACTGAAAAATAAATACTAATTTCATTGGTGAATCTTATTGTTTGTATGTAATTCAGTTGTCTTATGACTAACAAGCTTTTTGTTGTTAAATATTTTATATATGTTCAAGTCAGAATCATCATCTACTAACATACTATTTTTAGTTATAGAATTAACATGACTAAATTTCAGTTACGTAGGTATCCCCCCCCCCCAAATGATTCAGTGATAAGTCTGAAGGCTTATAATGCTAGAATTTGGGTTTCAATACTTGCAGTAGGTATAGGACAGATTGTTAGTTATTGTACACAAAAGACTAACATATAGAACATTTGCTATCTCTGTTGTGGATTTGTATTTACTTTTGAGTTGCTCACCAGCAAGTCTGAGGGCTTATAACTCTAAAAAACTGGTTTTCAGTATTTGTGGTGTGTACAGCACAGATAATCCATTGTGTAGCTATGTGCTTAACAATAAATAAAATACTTTTGCATTAGTTTATGTTGTGTTTTGATTTTTAACTCTTTGGAATACATAAGAGCACTTCAGTGCTTGTGATTAATTTATTTTGGGTCATTTCCTAATAATATGAGCTTTTGTTAGTCCTCTTAATACTACATAGATAAACCCAATTCTAATACAAAATGTAGTTGAACTAAAATCTTGTTGTTGTAACACTTATCTATTATACAACTGAGCAGCACATTCATGTCTATCGATATTAAGAAATACTGATCAAAAATAAGTTAAATGAACATAAAAGTAATTGTATGTTAATCAAACCACTCAAAGAATAAATTAACTAGAACTACTTGATGTCATATGTCAATTCACAGAAAACTAAAACCTGTAATGATTTAAGTGCATTGAATTATCAGTTGAGTACCATTGCTGTTAACAGTATTTTCAACTTTAATCCTAATAATAATTCACGAAGTTCAGTCAGATTAGGAGATCAAAGTTAATCTTAAATTTATACATTGAATCAATAATCCTAAATTATTTTCACAAGTTTAAAAATTAAAAAATGTTAATTCTGATAATTATAACCAATAATATTAATGTAACTAACCCCCAAAAAAAGAGATCTTTATTAGTTTTAAAATAAGTTACAAAATTCAAAACCATGATAAAAAATAAAATCACTAATACTAAAGAAGTAAACCTTGAATAAAAAAGCAGTATTGGTTTGCTAACTTTTAATCTACTAAGTTTAAGGCATTTATTTGTTCAGTTAATGTTAATTTTTTCTCATTTTTACTTCAGGAGGTTATATGTTCTCCCCAGGATGTATTGGAAGAGCGAGGCTTAGCAACAGTGGCCATTACAGTACAGGAGTTGCTCAAACAATCTTTTGACACAAAATTTCAAGTTACTTAATTTTTTAAGTACGGTACAGTGTGAATCATATACTAGCCATTATTGCCACATTTGTTGTAGTTTTTTTCCCACCAAAACTGATTAGTTAATCAGCAATTTATTTTTGAAAAACTAGTCGTCTTCTAAATTTCCTGTAATTCTTATAAACTGTGCATTTTTCATTTTATACATACATATATATGTGTATATGTAATTGTTTAGAGATACATCAAATTCACATAATCACATGATTTTGATTTAGGTAAGAACAACGTTATTCGTTTTAATGTTGTGTTTTTTAATGGTTATTGTTTAAGGTGGGGTGCCCAAATTGTTTTAATTCTGGATAGACTTTAAAGTTGGAGTGAGGTTTGATGATCTTCGTGGTGATGAGCAAGACTTTCACAATATATTCTGAGTGAAGAAAGATACTCCCTCCCAACTATTTTAAACAAATGCAGAAGTATTTTTACTGTGATTTAAGAATTTCACTTTATTCTTCATTAATATTTCTAAAACATTGTGTTTCTTTTTAGTAACTCTTGTTTTGTCTGGATTAATCAGTAAAAGTTTGGATATTTGTATTGTTCCCATAAGAATAAACAGTAGTTTATACTGTAACGGAGGAAGTATTATATGCAGGAAAAGTTATATAGGTGCAGTACTGGTATAAAAACCAAGAAGTTAATGTACTGAAATTACAAATGCAAATTCCTTCTTTTGCAGGTAATGTTTCAGCATCTTTTTTTTTTTTTGTTATATTGCCTCTATTAAGTTAGATGGTAGCAAATGGTATTTTAAAGTTTGAAATTCAAACTATTTTTTGTTTATTTTGTCAAATAAGATCTATTTCTTACAAAGCTGTAAAAAAAGGTAAATATTGGAAGTATATGATTGACTACATTCATTTGTATTTTAATCATCTACATCATTATGAAGACTGCAGTATGTAGAAAAAAAATGTATGACCTAATTATCAATTTAAGCATTTTTTTGTGATTTGTTCTTGAACACTTTTAACAAAATAATCTTATATTGATGTTTTTCTTAGCAGTGAGTGGGTTCAACTATCTGATTTTTTTTTTTGCCTTCATTGTAAATATTGATCTTTATTTCTATGTTTCGGTTCTTTTTTAAAGTTTTCATAGAAAAAGCTGCCAGAAAACTAAGACCACTTGTTTGTTTTTTTTGTGTTATTGCCTTGGAAATGTTGCTCAAAGTAGTATAAATGTACAGACTCCAGAATATTTTGTTTGGAGGTTGTAATTTTCACACTGTTTTAACTTGGTATTAATTTTATACTAGTAGGAAATCGGTGTTACCTGTATCTATGACTGTTCAAATACATTTACTACTAGAGAGTAATAAAAAGTATTTTTTTATTTAAACGTTATTTTTATCACTAGTTTCATTTAATATAGAAAAAATCCTAGTCTTCTCACTAAGGAAAGTCGTTTTTTCTTGTACCATTTTCCACCATTTACCACTCTGATACCGGTTTTTTGTAACATACCATTGGTCATTAGCTGTAATTATTCCTTTACATTACTGCTACTACTTTAATCATGGTATTATATAGAATTTGATATAGTGACTGTGTTGTGAAATTCAGTAGTTCAACTAGCTTGAATACTTTAAAGTTGACAATTGTGAGATTCTAGATATCAAAGTCAGTTGCAGTTGGGTTGATTAAGATGAATTATGTGATGCTAAAGTAGGCTGCACTTGTAAGTGATAACAGGAAAGTCAAAGATATAAGCAAAAATTGTTTGACTGACAAAGTTTTAGCAATTACTGATATTTAAATTAGAGCAGAGGACAAATGTTTAAAACATTACCAATGTAAATAAACACTCTGATCCTATTTGTTATTTTACCTACATGTGTTACTTTTCATCACACGCAATGTTCCCTATGAATAGACTATTACTAATAGTTACGCAGAAAAACCTTTTATAATGTGTGTGTGTTTGTTTTTGTGTTGACTGAGCTAGATCAGCCCTTGTGTAAGGTTCAGGTGCTCTACAGATGTTAACTCATTTAATCTTTTGGTAAAAAGTAAGTTCTAGATAGTTTACAGTTAGAATACAAAAAATTATAACTCGAGAGAGAAGCACATTTATGTGCTTGAGTTTAAAATATAGCATTTTTTTTGAAAACCTTAGTTTGTCTTCCACTCAAATTGAAAACAAATTTCAGTGCTTGTTACATATTCAACTCTCTTTCATTCAACATACATATATTTTTTGAAAGAAAAGTTATGCTAATATTTTTTTCATAGAATTGAAATATTACTCTCCACATGGACAGCAGCTTTTGAAACCAAATGGAAAATTTACAAAACAAACAATGCACTTTTTGTAGGTACGTGAAATTAAGGAAGGTAAATATAACTTGCTTTAATGTTGTCTTTTCATCTAAAAGGCATTGCTTAGATCCTTTTCCAAAACACTTTGCTGTTCATACTCGGGATTTTAGAACTTTTATTCAACAAGATCTGACAGTTACTGAAGTCAGTTCATTATACCCTAATCACTATTTAGTTTCTACAGATTATTTACTCGTAATTGATTGAGAAAAGATACTTATAAAAATATTTATGCTCCTTCTTACAGAAGGCTGCTATTCACACTTCAAGTATTATGTAGTAGTTTCATGTTAAATATGCTACAGTTTGTGTAATATTTCAGTATAAATTACAGATGATAGTTCACTCAGTAGTAGTTTCATGTTAAATATGCTATAGTTTGTGCAATATTTCAGTATAAATTAGATATGATAGTATTGTTTTAAGGTGGAACGATAAATACAGGAATTACGTGTCTGTAAAGAAGGATTTTTTTCTTTCATAATACTAAATAATTTTTCTGTAAAGTGAGAAATATTTTTGAATACTAAAGGGAGCTAAGTGTATATAGGCAAAATTTTCATTTAATGAAGAGAAAACAAATATTTCAGGGTTACAGACAGAAATAAGATACTTGTAAGTTGATTAATAATGATCATAGGGTTTTAATTATGTGTATTATTATACTACATAGGGTGTGTGTTAGTATTTTCACATTGGATGGTAAAAATATCTTGTAGAAGTTTTAGTATATTCTTGTTGGTTTGATACCATACCATACACTGGACTTTCTCTTTATTTCAATCAAGAAAACATGTTTAACCCTGTGTTGTTTTTCAATATGAAACGACATAAAAACCAAGACCTCCAGATTCATGAAATATTCTTTAATATCAGTTTTCTAACTGATTTATATAATTCAAACCATATGGTTAACTTCTTTGTTAAATGTAAAAATTGTACTAAATGCATGTTGAGTTTTTTGGCATTGGTAGTTCAATTGATATTTACAAAATTTATTTCGTGTTGAATATTTAGATAAACTGATGACTGTTTTTAAGATCATTGTGTAATAATCAATAGAAGTCATGAGCACTGAATCACTTGTTTTATTCTAGGACCTACTTTTATATTATTTCATAATTTTTGACATGTTTTATTGAAAAAGGACTGATTTTTTGTTGTTTGGAAAGTAGGTAACATATTTTAAATTTATAGCAGATAAGAGGGAGAAAAGCTGGAACTTATAGAAAATATGACTTACCTTAAAAGTTGTATCTAAATCTATATAATCATATCTTCCAGAAAAGAGGAAACAAAAAAAGACTGCAATGAAAGTTTTACAGTGTCATTTATAGCCTAAACTTCCATGCTGATTTTTGGGACATTTCTTACTTAGTATCAAAGTTTTTTTGCCTCTGTCACATTGAAATGTTGGATTAGCCTAATTCAGCCTTTGAATGATTCTATATATGTATTTATTAATTTGAAAATATAGATTTAAATCCTTATAATTTGTTTTATTGATTAATCATCAAATTTGTATATGTTTTGGCAAGTACTTTTATTTCTTAGGTCTTAAAAAGGCATATTATTATTTTTATTTTTTTGTGAGAGAGCTTGCAGGCTTTTACTTAATCTTTGTACAGTTACATTTTATTGTAAAGATATGTAATATTTTATGACCAGGAGAAGTTGTTTTGAGTTTGAAGTAAAATGGTTGAGGGTCACTTAACTGTATAGTCTGTACTTTATTGTGTTTTTCTGTAGAGAATATTTATATTATTCACTCAACATGATGACGTGTACAGAACTTGAAATAAATTTGATTAATGAAAAAATGTATGAAATTGCAAATTTGAACATTAGTTACTTATTGATACTTACAGTATTGTAGGCAAGGAGATGCTAGTTTTAAAAACTTACAGTATATCTAAGAGAAGGCTTTGCATGATGTTTAATGCCTTTTTTTAAAACATGTTTTACTTTCAAGAAAGTGAGTAGCTGTAGACTTGCAGAATACGTTGAATCTACTAAACAAGACATAGTTGTTAATAAAACTTCTAACAGAAATCAATGAACTGAAGTTAGAACTAGAATTATGGAGTTATATAGATCTACTTGGTTGTATAAAGAAATCTTTTTGAAAATAAATCATTTTGACATCCTTTTGACTGATCTGTGAAGCAGATATCACTTGTTACAATCAGATACATAGAATATTGGTTTGCTTTAGTAACTAGGAAAACCTTGGGTCTGTACTCTTCTTAGTAACTTCATGCAAAAAGAGGATAGTGCTTTATATCACAGGCCCGAGTACTTTAACTCTTTCAAAGATTTTGAGTTATTGTATTAATTCAGCACAATATAAGATAATTATAAATTCAGTTTTATTCAGTTGCCAAAAAACATGTTAATAGCAAGCTATTAAATTTAATGTTTCTTGTAGCATTAATGATATTGAAAGAGCTACAGTGGATAGTGCAGGCTATTCTGAAGCTGGTATAATAAAGATTTATAATTTCTTTAGTAGTTTGATATCATGTACAAATGGTTTTAATAATCAAGTAAATACAGAGCTTATCTGTTATAATTGATTTTGCTAGGAATTTAGTCATTGGCATAGAAATGGGGCCAAGATGGTACAAGTTTTAATGGGACAGCCATTGTAGAGAAAAAAATGTAAGTTTATGATCCAGTTTACCAAGAAGAACCAAACTGTATGTAGAAAATGTATAAAAAATTACAATATATATATTGTATACTAGTTATGAAAGGGTGAAATTAGCAGTTTTCCAATTGCAACATAGATTTTCCCCTCTGATAATTCAGTTAATCTGAACATGCCAAACAGTTCCTGTAACTTAAAAACTAAAAGAGTTTTTTTTAAATGAATATCAAAAGCAAAAAAATAAATTTTTAGAAGTATTTGGTAAAATTAGTTTTAGGGCTGAAAATATGAATACTGACAAAACTTGTTATTACTACCACTAGCATTACTATGACACTATTTGAAAAGTGTATAATCCATAAATTTATGAATATGACCTATTCCTTGAATTCAACAAACATTACCCTATCAAGCGGGTATTCTGGTATTTACCCTAACAATGCCCTCAAGAGATAATTCTTACACCATTTTAATGACTGCTGTCATATTTGTATTAAAATATTTTAACTCCTTAGAAACATACTAAGTAAATCTTAAAAGTTGGTATTTTTTAAAATAAATAAACCAACATCAGACGGGTTTCATGCTCTAACATTACGGCTAACGTAAATATCAACCGTAAATTGGATTTCAGGTTAATATGATCTTTTATTAGTTTACTTTTTACAAACCAGCCTAGACATGTAGCAAAAACAATACTGAGAGCACTGAACATGATACAATAGTAATGCTCACTATAAAAGAGTGTAGAAGAAAATATCAGGGAAATTATGTTGTGATTATTAAATGGCAAGAGACTGTGTTACAGCATTGAGGTGTATACCTTATTAAAACAATTTAATATGCATAAAATATGCTTACCCTGTTTGTTGCTGGCCTTCAGAGTCTCCCACGACAAGCCAATCTCCATTGTATTTACTTTAGGCCTAATATATGAAGAATTTTAAAGTAAGATAATGATATGTACATACAGGGATGAGATGTGTACAGTCTAGTTGTTGGTAAAGAGAAACTGTATCAATTAGCACAATATGACATTTCCACGTTTTGATACAACAAGCACATTTACCACAAATACAAAGAGTGGAAAACACACAGCAAGTGTCATGAATACTGAAATTAAAAAAGGTTGCAAGAATTCCCTTACCACAACATACCCAAACTGTGTAGGATTTGCTAAATGCTAAGGACTAACGTGTTCAGTGGATCGATCTCTACAGAAGTGTAGTAGGAGGAACTAAGAACGTGTCTGCTTTTCATGGCAATACATTACAAACCTAAATTCATCCTATTCTTACAGACTGACCACATAATGATGTGTAAGTAATGCAGGCAGGATATCACGATTTTATTGCCCCAACATCCAGGCTAATGTGTGTACTGGAATGTATTGTATTCCAATTTTTCAGTACCTATCTCATTCATCATTCCTGTAAGAAACACAAAAACAAAATCAGTATAAGTTACACCTTACACAATTGGGAATTATATATTTAATCATATCCAACAGTGTTATGTTTTCATCTGTTACAACACTTATTGTACAAAACCATAGGTGCACCCCCACTTTTTTGTTCTATGGGATGTAAAATAACACAACATTCACAGTAATGAAGTCACACTTTTATGTCTTCCCCTCCCAAATTCCATCTATATACAGAGCTTCCAAACAAACTGAGTGAAATCATTCATTTCTGTGTAAAATACAAAAGAGGACTGCAGCAGTAATTAGATTCATTGCAATATGGATTTTTTTTTTTTTACTCATTAAGAGCCCTGTAGCCAACAAAGTCATGGACTCAAAAGCAATTTAGCGTATAAATTGTTTTTAAATAATGTGTTTGGAAACTCTATGAAGTATGTGGCCCCATCAATGACTTCAATTAAGAAATTTTTAGAAATCATGCAGAATGATAGCTCATACGAAATTATCCCATTAATAATCAAAAACATGGAGAATTGGACATAACTTCAAATATATGAAAACAAAGTTGCTGAAATCATTTATGGATTGGACTTTCATAAAATTACAACAGACTTTCACAGATCAAACTATAGGAAGTGAAAAGTATCATATTCCATTTGAATGTTGAAACCACACAAAATGATAACATACAATGTTGTGTATTAATGAAGACAACATACTGTACAAAATACACTATGGTTACTGAAGAAGAAGGGTAATGTTTTAAACTTGTATAGATTAATTTCCCATAAATCAAAGTAAGTTGAAAATTAAACCAGTGAAGTAAAAGATAACACTTACTTACTTACTGATGATGAAATATGCTGTATATCCAGTACAGGGGGCAGGCTTGGTTCTGGGATAGTCTTATGGGTTAATGGTGGTGCTTTCTGCATGTTTTGACCTTAACACTACAGGTAGTGGTTGTGGGATACACTGCTGGTTTCTGGAACTCCAGGGTTAAGCTATTAATAGCATTGATAGAGCCAAACAGGGATGAGCGACTGCCCGGGGTGCAAAAGCCCCTCGTAAAAATTATCGATTGCTTGAATACAATCTTTAAGGCATGCTTAAGAAGTGAAGAGTTTCTCTAGGATTCTTTAAGTCCTATTTTTACATATTTGCCATTTTATTAGTAGTATAGTTGAAGTGGTGTGAAAATGTTAAGAATCTGGCAGTTGAAGTCAATGAAGAGAAAAAAATTAAATAAAGAGGACGAAAAATGTAGGAATTGTATAGGGTGACAAATGCTTATTCAGCCCAGGGTGCCACTTTGGCTAAGGTCGCTTCTGGAGCCAAATGCTGGAAGGCTCTATCAACAGAAGATCCTCATCTATAGGTTTACTTTATCAGTGGTCAGAATCATTCCCAGAGTCTTGGGTACTTCAGTGTAACCTCAGAAGTCACCAAACAAAAATGTACTCTTTCATTACAGAGAGGTAAGGCATGCTAGAAAAACAAAACTTCTGGCTAGTTGGTAGCTAGAAGGGTCAAGAATTTGATCTTATACAAAAAATGTCAGGATTAAAAATGCTTAGTCAACATGGTTTCTGATTGATCACAAGTTCAGTTAGAAGTGTAAGTTTCAAAGTTGGATTTTTCCAGTCACAACTAAAATCTGTTCCAAAAACAGATTTTGAACTGAAAGTATTAAAAGATAGCTCTGGCCATCTGACATTTCTCAATGTCGCAATAGCTTATAACAACAGCACAACTGTACCCATAGCTGATTTTAAAAAGCCACAGGTTACTTGTATATGCACCATGTTCCTCAAACTGCGGTGTTCACACGTCACTTTGCAGCATGGCAAGTAGTGCCTTAGCTAGATATGATCTGGATCTTTCAGTTGCTCTTCTCAGGACTCCTGAAGTGTCATTCTTTGTGTACATCCACCAGTTGAATCATCATGGTTCAACATTATTGCTGATGCAATGACTTTCATGCCCTCACAGTGTCCGGAGTCAGAACATTCAATGAAACAGACAAACTCTTACCATATAGCAATACAATACATTGATTTTGAAGCCCAGTCAATACATATAATAAAGTCATACTCTTGCAAAATTGTAATCAAACAAGCTATCATTCCTTCCAAATTCTTAAAGTTCACAAGCCATACCATACAAGTAGTACCAATATTATGTTTTACAAATACTACAGCAGTTTCTTTCTGTCCTGTAGGATCTGTATTTAGGAATCCTCAGTGTATGACTGGCGTACACAATTACATGTTCTATTCCATCCTGTACATGTAACAATACCATACTAATTCCACTATTACTATTTCCAATAAAAATGGACAATTTTGTCTAGGGTATGCTAAATTACCACAGCTTTTATTAAAGCACATGTTACTGACTGTAATATAGTCCTCCGTCTATCTAAAATACATTAAAGCTTTTAGAGAACAGTGCAGTGATCATTGGTAGTATGATACAAAACCTAGGAACCTGCAACTTTCTTTTTTTGTCATACGTTGAGATGAAGCTTTGACCACTGCAATTTTTGCAAGGCCTCTTCCCACAATGTGACTGAGGAATTTCACTTGTGTATTCATAAGTGCACACTTACCTTATTCCAGTTTCAAGCCTACCTTTTTTATCCACTGAAGAACCATACCCAGATTTTCAGCTGCAAACCGAGAAAGTTGGATTTGCTTTCCCATACTGGCAATGCAGATCATCCACAAAAAGTGGCCAAGTTCTCAGAGGAAACAATCTTATGAGCCTTGAACTTGGTATTAGAATAGCTCAGTTCTCCATTGGGTCAAAACATCAGTGCAACTCATCTATGAGTGTATCTCAGTTACTAAGCTGCTTCTTGTCCAAGTGCTGATCCACCAAGACTCAACATCCATCATTACATCACTTGTCATTGAGTCCATCCATTCCAACCAGTGGCCTGATTGAAACAATAAGGCTGCAGCCCAGGTCTTCCTTGTTTGTATCCTTAAATATCACTGATGAAATCTGCTTCATCTCACTTTCAGGGACCCATGGCTGCAAACAATAAGATCTCTAGTAGCATCTTGGCCA